CACTACTAGAATAAAATATTCCGTCACACCCTATTTTATCTGCACTACAGGGCATCACACACTCCGACAGTGTCACTCGCTAGTGTGACGTCACGGTCCGGCCTCTGTTATGTGAAGACACAGAAGATGAAACAATTTTAATTAAATTATGAATATGTTTTTCCTCCAGATAAGTAAGAACAGAAGCTGTGAAGTGTGAAGTGTGCGACCAGTAGTAAAAATAATATTAAATGATGTTAGAAATATTTTATTTATTGAAAATTGTATTTCTAATTTAATTTCTAATCTATACTCTCCAGGACTTTCGGCCTTAAACTGCTTTTATAAAGGAGGTAATTAGTTTGAGCTTTTGGCAGCTTAAAGAAAATTGATGATCTAAATACAGTGGGTTAAGATTGAGATGTAACTATTTGGTGGACTATACTGGGTAAGTCTATTAAATACTGAATAATAAAATAATATTGAACGATGTTAAAAATATTTTATTTACTGAAAATTGTATTTGTAATTTGTAGGTTATACCTTCTGTTAATATACTCCCCAGGACTTTCGGCCCTAAACTGCTTTTATAAACTAGGTAATTAGTTTGTGCTCTCGGCAGCTTAAAGAAAATCGATGATCTAAATACAGTGGGTTAAAATTGAGATCTAACTATTTGGTGGACTATACTGGGTAAGTCTAGTAAATATTGAGTAATAAAAATAATATTGAACGATGTTAAAAATATTTTATTTACATGAATAAATGTAATTGTTATTGTGCAGAATTTATGTACAATTTACATATTTGTTTAATTTACACATTTTGAATAAAAATTTTGTAATACCATGTATTTCTTTTTCATACACGTGTCTTTTTCATATACATGTCATCCCTATTATAAGAAGTATAAAACATACGTTTGCTTCAGTAATAAGTAATATGTAACAAAAGTATTTTTTATACTTATTAAATAAATGAAACTAAATTATATAGTGCAAGTATGCAACCCATTAATCGCATGAACTTTGCCACCTGCCTGCATGGTGGCGCACCAATCGTTTTGAAATTGCGTGTTGTCTATCATTTATCCTTATAAATGAGCCTTCTCCTTTTCTCTGTTTTGTGGTTTTAGTGTTTTAGTGACTTTGTCTATGGTGAAAATGAAAATACGTCATTGTCATTTGAGTGGCTGCGTTGTAGTTGATGTTATTGATCAAGTTATTCCTTAGTAAAAAATAAATACATTCGCAAAATGACTATTTTAACAAAACCTTTTACAGAGAAAAAAGGTGATAAGTTAGAAGTACCTCTAGTTGAAAATGAAAAATTGCCTTTACCGGTAAGAACTGCTTTTTGTATTTATCTGGAGATTTATTACATGGAGAGTTTATCCTTATAGATATATTGTTTCAGAATGTTTTAGTTCGTACAGTTTGTTTTTATAGAAAATCTAATATATTATTAAATTTCATAGCATTGTTTGAGGAAGAAAATGTGGAAAATCGAGTATGATTTAGGCATAATACAAGACATTTATTTATTTTCTAAATGAATATCATAATTTGAGGATTGTTTGAATCGACTTAAACTGAAAAGTGTTTACGGTTCAAAGGTATAAAACCACAACTTTCAAAATACAAAATTAAAAAAACTTGTCACCTACATGTATTTAAAAGTCTAATGCAGATTAATGAGTTTTATTAATGACTTAACTAATTAAAGGTAAACATTGAATTTTGGATGTGGTCATAGGGTACCTACAGGTTAAACAGTGAGATAAAAAGAAATAATGTAGGCATTCCTTACTCTTCTTTTTCCAGCTAAATTTAGTGATGCAATTAACTTTTTTAACTTGATTGATTTTTGATATAATGAGAATTTCTTGAATTTGTCATTTCTATTTACTGTTGTATCTTGGTATATATATTATAAAAATAATTAGATGATCCATATGGGATTTTTTTCTGAAGAATGCAGTGATATACTCAGTATTTTTGTGGAGTTTGTTTTTCTATTGATATATTGATACCTTTCTGTTATATAATTTTAAAATAAATTGCATATTTACATTGCCACTTTGTCGCTCTATCCAATGGTGTCAACATTTTTGCAAACTGACGTTATGTCTTCGAGGGGCCATCATCAAGTTAATTTTTTTAAATACGTGGCTGCTATTTTTATGACATCTAAAGTCATTTTTAATTCTGAATTAGATATTATTATTGAAATCGCTTAAAAAGGTTTTTAGCTTGTTTCACCTATCATTTAAAATTTTTCCTAAGTACGGCTCTGAACACTTTCAAAATATATATTGGGGGAAGTCATAACAGTATAAAAGTCAATACAGCACAAAATACCCAACAATTTTTTTTAATCAATAATTTAAAAAAGTTGTACCTAATAAAACGATAATACGAATCTTTGAAAGGTTTTATTATTTCTAATTAGTATTGCTAATAGTAGTAAAAAAAATTGTTGGATATTTTAAATGATAGCTAAAACAAGCTGTCGGATTGCAAAAATGTTGATACCATTGGATAGAGCGAAAAAAGTGGCAATGTAAATATGCAATTTATTTTTTAAATTAGTTTTCAAATAAAGCCAGAACAAAAATAGAACGATTTTGCAAAATTTCGGGTTTTTCCGGATATCTCCGGAACTACCCGGAATTTTAAAACTTTCTAAACGGCATATTGTTTGGTATAAAATAAACACAACTTTTTTCTAATTTGAGCCACCCCGTATCTCTTACCGTTTCTTGAACACACTGTATACAGGGTGTTCCACCTAAGGGGGATTCTTCTGTAACTGTAACTGTCAAGTTTATAAAAAAATGGTTTTAATTTAAGTTGTCTGGAATCATGTGAGCCATGTAAAGAAAATATTTTTAACTTTACAGGGTGTTTCATTTCGCGTGGGCGCAATATTACTTTGTTATTTTAAATGGAACACCCTGTATATTATTGCGTTTTTGAATTCCTTTGTTAATATAAGGTACAGTTTATTAAATGTACATGGTGTTTAAAACTTACCGTTTTTGAGATACAGTTAAATCTCCCTTGGGCCGACACCAACGGGACCAATTGAATGTGTCCCTTCAAGAGGGGTGTTCACCTAAAAGAAATAAGAAAACAAAAACGTTTTTTTAATGAAAACTGCAATTAAAGAAATTGCGACATTTAAAGCCCGGTACATACATACAATTTTACCTTATGTCTTGCTTGTTCAGTTAAAACGGATCAAGTAAAACATCACGTGTAAACCAAAAAACGGATGTTTTACTTGAACTGAATCGAGACAGACGACCATCTAGAAAACTGATGGGCCAGGGCATTATTTGGCCAATAAAACAGGTTCAGTCTATCATCTGTGTGAGAGATTTTAAGTTTATTTTATTTTAATATATCAGACTTAAGTCAGTGGTCTCATGACTTTTGTACGGAATTTACTGAGTTATACCAAAGTTATTCTTGTCTATGACAAGTTAAATCAAGCGTTTATAGTGATAGAGAAAAAAAAATGAAGTATATGGCGTTTTGGTCAAGAAGTGCCAGGAGGTGGATCTCACGGCGACGAAGGATACTGTAACTAAAAAAAATTAACTCTAGTCGTTCAGTTTATCGTAAAGAGTTGCAGAAATTAAATAAATCAGCACGTTTTGGTGTGGGTACAGATGACATTTATAAACCATCTCTTTGGTATTTTAAGCTGCTTTCCTTTCTTAATGATCAAGAAACTCCAAGGGAGTCTTCAGGTTCATGACATAATTCTCGAAGTAAATTTACATGGTAGAACCTCCCTCTTTTTAATAACCACTCTCTTGACCATCGTGAACACTCAATGTTCCTTTTTTTTTCTTTTAAAATTCGCTAAATACACTAACATTATTGACAAAAGCAATACTTCATCCATTTTCAACCGTTAAAACTGAATAAAATATACATGTTGTAACTGTATAGTGTATACTGTATACTGTAATTTTCAGACCGACTTAACTGACCCTTTTAACTGACACACAAGACCTAAGGTAAAATGGTATGTATGTACCGCGCTTAAAACGTATATGTATGTAAATGTTTTTAAAATAAATAAAAAACTTAAAACTAATTGGTTAGGATAATAGCTTTACCATAGTTTGGTATAGCATCTGTGGGTACTGGAACCTCATCGACATAAGAATCTTCGGAAAATTCTTGTATTTCAACTGGATTTTCAATTTCTAGTCCTGAATCTGAATCTTCTACATACAAATTTTTCATTTAGGTTCAAAAAATCATTAAGGTTTTCATTATCAGTCAATTCCAACAAATTTTTATTTTTGGATCATATGTAACATACTCAGTTAACTGATCTTCACTTTGCATATTTTCATAGTTAAATTCTGCTTAACGGAAGCAATTTTTAACTGTTTCCTTTTTATTTTGTTTTTGTCCGTTTAAGAGAATATTTTCTAATATCCGCGTCCGTTCAAGAGAATGTTGGTCCAGGAGTGAGTTAACACAATGCGAATTATATTAGAGTCGGTCGGGACCATGAGAAACTGTCCGTCCAAGGGAGGTGTCAGGTGTCCGTGTGAGAGGGGTGTCCGCGAAGGTTAATTTTACTGTAATCAGTTGTTTTTAAAAAAAATCACGATTTCAGCTCTCTAAATGAGGCTAGATAGCGTCTAAACCTTAAGAGTTAGAAACCTGCAGTTTTCACAGTTCGTTTTGTCATAAATTACTCTATCTTGTCATTTGTGAGCAAAACGTGTACCTTATTCAGATTCGGAATTACTGAGACCTACATTTAATAATCTTACGAGTTGAAAAACTTTTTTTTTTAAAATGGAATGACCCATATTAATTGTCATGGGTAAATGCAAAATTGAATGCCCTTTCGACAATATTATTTAAAAAACAAACAGTAACCATATAAATGAACAAAAGCAGGTCAACATTTTTCAGTAAAAATTATTGTTGTCGATTTTAATTGTATTTATAGCTATATGATGTAAAAATTTAATTTTGTAAATAAATATGTGGTTCAAAGAATAACTTCTTACTTACTTATTTGCAATTTTTAAGTAAATTTATTATGACACAAATTAACAAAACATACAGGTACGTTTTAACAAATAAAACTACAACTTAATAGACAGTATGACCTCCCCTGTTTGTCAGTAACATGTTAACACACCTGTGCATTGACACGATCAAAAGGTTGATAATTTCTTGAGGAATATTATTCCATTCCTCTATTGCTGCTGCAGTCAACTCTTTCGCATTTTGGGGTGGGTTCATGCGTTTGCGAATTGATCTAGAAACAAAATCCCACATGTTTTCAATGGGATTCATATCTGGGGAGTTAGCTGGCCAATCTAATCGTGTAATATCTCCCTCTTCAAGTACCTCTTGGACCGTTCTTGTGCGATGTGGCCTTGTGTCGTCCATGAAGATGAAATTGTCACCTAATTCGGCGCATAGGGGATAAATAAATAATGGGACTGATAACACTTTCAATATAAACTTGATTTGTCATATTCTGATTTATGGGAATTAACGGCATACGGCGATTGAACATGAATCCTCCCCAAAACATTACTGTCCCACCATTGTAGGGAACGACCTCGCGGGGAAAATTTAATTTCTCTTGACGACCTGGCTCTCTCCAGACCCTTTGCCAATTGTCATCACTCACTAGTCCAATTTTGGTTTCATCTGTGAATAAGACCCATCGCCACTGCTGCAAAAGCCAATCGCTACGTTCCCGTGTCCACTGATTGCGGGCAGCTTGATATCGTTGTAGTACAGTGGGTACCCTTAAAGCCCTTCTTGCACGTAAATTTGCACAATGGAGTCTTCTTCGAACTGTAGAGGTTGATATAACAAAACAAAACGTACCTTGAAAGTGATTCCTGAGGGCTGGAGCTGAAGCACTTCGGTGTCTACGGGCATATTGAATCAAATAACGATCCTGCCGTTCATTTGATACTGGAGGCCGCCCACTACGTGGTCTTTTTTCCACTGTCCCTAATTCTTGATACCTATGCACTATTCGAACAATAGAAGATCTAGGAATGTCACATCTCGGATGTCTGATGTTTGGAATGACCAGCATCATGCAAAGCAATAATTTTTGCCCTATTAAAAGCAGATATCTCGCGTCCTGGCATTATAATGAAAAAAAAGTATCAAAGTCGCTTTGCTATAAAATGGACGAATATTAAAAAAATATATATAACCAATCAGCAATATTTTATCTTGCAATTTATTCGATCTTGTTTGACAGCTAAATAACTCAACTTTGTTGCCTAGTAACGAAAACAAAATAAACATAGTCCAAATCTGTAATATACGGGGAGTCCAAAACTTTTGACGGTGTGTGTAGATAGAAAATATAAATATCTAACAATCTTAACAGATTAAAAATACAAAGGATTTATAGGCCTAATAAATAAAAGATATATTCGTCAACAGTATAAAAGCAATAATTTTATAAATTTAATAATTTAATAAAAACAACTAGATTTGTAAAATTCTACATACTGTCAATTAGAGCTTTTCCATGAATATGAACTTTATCGTATATATTTATGTCTACCTTATTCTTTTTTGATAAACGTATGCAAACGTCTTAGATATTATTAGTTTTTTTTTACATTTATTTATGTATGAAATAATTTTGAATAGTTTATTTGATAATAGTACAAGAAAATATCAAATTTTTCTGATTGATAAATTTTCAAACATTATCATGTATGCATATGAGAATTATCTTGTCTGTATTACATATTTTTCTTATAATTTCACCTGTCCACAAACAGTGTTACGAAAACTCGTAATGTTTTTTCACCTTTTGCTAATTTTATTTATCAGTTAAAATATGTCTCATAAAAAAACATGTATAAGCAATTTAATTTATTTGATGGTTGAAGCAATTTAATTTATTTGATGGTTGAAATAATTGTTTTATTTAGCATTATTTTAATTAAAATACAATAATAGATCATCATATAGGTATGGTATACTATATAGGATGTACAAGAAGTAAGTACACTGCCGGCCCTTTGAAAGTGGACGATTTATTTTTCTAATGTGATGTGGTCTATTTCTTATTATGACAAGTTTTTATATGTCAGTGTCATTAGTAATTTACTTGGTCATTCAAGACGCCGTGTTTAATGGAACCAGAGAAAGTGAGAGGTATAACTTTACTTCAGAATGATTGGTCATTGCGGATGATCTGCATGTATGCAAGAAGAGCATATTTAAACTCGAAGAAAAATGGATTGCGGAAGGTCACGTACGTTATGTTCACGGAGATGGACGTCTAAAAGTAAGCACCACCTAAGAATAAATCCTTTTGACATGGCAGTAGCGGCTTCCTTTGAGACGAATTTCCTGGATCAGTGCGAACTACAAGGAAGCGGGTGAAAGATTTAGAGCTGAAGAATTATGTGGCCGCAAATACAGGTGCTTTGACTCCCCAGTATAAAGAACAGAGGTTAGAGTTTGCAAGACAATTTGTAGGAAGCCCAGACAACTTCTGGGAGAGTATTATATTTTCGGATGAAAAAAGTTTTCAGTCTTGCTCCGATGCTTCTGTCCGTGTCTACCCACTAGAGATTATAAGGTATTCGGAGCCTGATGTGAAACCCACACAGCGCAGCGATAGATTCTCTATTAACGTTTGGGCTTGGATAAGCTGCCAAAGTCCTGATGTTTGTTGTGACCATGCTGTATCCTCAGAATTTCACTTTCAAGCAGGATAATTGTGCAATTCACACCTCAAGAGTTGCGTCAGAATGGTTCATTGATAACAACATCGATGTTTTACCTTGGCCCTCAAGGTCCTGGGGATATATGGTGAACAAAATTTATTACAGAAACTTCCGTCCAGTTAACGTCGAAGAACTTTGGCAGGCAATTGAAAACGCATGGGATAACATCACTGAGGATTATAACAAGAACATTAATTTTATCAATGCCATGTAGATTGCAGTGTTATAGACAAAAATGGTGCTTGCACAAAATAAAATACTAAATTTACGAATCGCGTTTTTTTGACGAAGAAAAGTGTTTCAGTTTTAGATCTCGTTGACGGCGAATGAATGGCCATTGGAATGTATAATATATTTCAGTATTGGAAAAATAAATAATTTGCTACCTAATTTGGATTTGTTTTGCTCACTAGAACTAGTATGATAGACACACATTAAAATGACAGCCGATTTGAACCTCACATTTTGAAGTCGGCTTTACAAAGGCCGATTATAAACAATTTGCTTATGAGTCGTCCACTTTCAAAGGGCCGGCACTGTACCAACAGTTTAACCACATATTTAATTTGTCAAAAGCTACAACTTTCGTCTAGTTTTTTTAAAATTATGCTCACTGATTATAACTGCCCATTCACATAGTACAGATGATATAATTTCAGGCTACTTCAAAATTGCCACTATTTAATCAACCAATGAAAATTTTTAATTGTTTAGATTTCATAAACATTGAAGTATTGTCAATTTGTGTCCTATTATCAGAATCGGCTTTGACAAAACAAGTTTACAGTGTCACCAAACAAATATTACACAATATTATATTATGACACTATTCTGACTGAAATATTTAAAAAATATAAAATTTTTATGAAAACTTTGAAATTGGTGATATGACAGTTGAAAGAGGGATTTGTTGAACAATGTCAATTTATATATTTATTATAGAGTTTGACACGAGTTGTAAAAATTTTTCTCAAAATACGTTGAGTTAAATAAAGCATATAAATTTTAGTGAGCATTTCATATGTTCACAACTATAGAGAAAATCAATTTCTTTATGTTCATAACCTTTAAAACAGTGGTTATATTGTCAATACAAGTAAATTAGAAAGCGGCGTCATTAAAGACATTAGAACATTTAATGGGGGTGCTAAATTAATATCTCATTATTAATAATCAGAATGTAACCTAATTTGTAATTATGTAATTAAAATTTGATTAATCATTGTTAGGTACCACATCTGTAAGATATCGGTGCATTATAAATTATTTAACCTTTATTTGTTCTTTATAATTATTAGTAGTAAATTCCTCTTCTAATGAACTATCTGACGAAGAAAATAAACTATCGAAAAGTGTAACATTAAAAAAATCCTCTGCTACTACCATTTTTATCTTGAAAATTTGTATTAACTCTGAATCATGTGTAAACTGACTTCTAAATCGAACACTGGCAAAATGCGCACTTAAAATGTAAATTGAATATGAATGTTGCATACAGTTTGTACTTGGTACAAAAGTGCATGTAATTCGAAATCTTCATAAATGATAGGAGTTAACTAAGGTAATATGGCACACGGTAAAACCACTGGAAAAAAGAGTCGACTGTGGCTCGTCAAAAGATGTTAAATCCAAAAATGAAAAAAAGTAGGGGATGCCTTTTAAAAAATTGCATTGTTACGTTATCAGGTCTCCATTTTGGCCAATATGGCTAATGTGCCAACGTTAAAATAAAGCTAATCAAATTTACTAATTGACATGTTTTTACATGCATTTTTAAAAACATTTAAAAAGATATGAATTTTATGTGGAACTTTATACTCACACGGTATATATGTATATAATTTGTGCATAAACTATATTTGATTCTTAATTAAAGAAAGTAATAATTTTATTGAATTTTAGAGTGCACCAAATGATGTAGAAGCTCAAGGTCATCCTCGTATTATTATTTTTCCAGCCAGAGTTCATCGTGTTTCTACTGCAACTACCCTTTGTCTTTTATTAACTGCACTTAGTGTTGTTGGTATTGGAATTATAGGAGGGAAATATTTGTATCATGAATATTTAAGTGTTTCTAGACCTTTACCTCAAGGCCGTTTTCAAGGGTGGGCTCAAATTCCAATGTAAGTGCTCTTTTGTGAAAATTTTATATTAATGTATTTATAAGCCGTTTCCAATTTTGTTTGATTTTTTTTTAAATTAAATTTGATTGTAGGAATGATATAGATGATGATTCAGATGATTATAGTAATGTGTTTCCGGAGACAGAATCAGGGTAAGGATACAAGAGATTATTATTTATGTCTAGTGAAATTTATTTATATTTTAAAGAATGAATACGGATGATGATTTGGATATTTATAAACTGAAAAGACTCATTGCCAAAGCATCTTTTCAAGAGAATTTTGAAATTGACGATAACCAGAAATATGAAAAAATTGACGTACCCGACTTTAGGGATGGAAGAAGTGGTAGATTTATTCATGATTTTAACACAAACATTACAGGTATTATAGACATTACTGGACATCGTTGTTTTGTAATGCCCCTAAACCGTCAAAATGTCTTGCCACCAAAGTCTTTATTTGATTTAATACAAAAAATGTGGGAAGGCTATTATAAAGTGGATACTGCAGTTATAAGAAAGACAATGAAAGTGGTTCTGCCACCAATTACAGACTCTAAGAGTATCGGAGGTTACATTACTAGTGAATGTGAAGGACTTCCCATTTATAAACTGGAAAAATATGTGGGAGGAGGTAAGTTATATATGGATATGCATATTTGTAATATTATTATATGTATATAAAACCCTCTAAACGCTGCAAAAGCTTTTAATTTAATATGATAAAGCGGGATATCAGTTGGTTATGATGTCACAACTACAGTTGATACTAGTCATAGATTCGTCTCATGTATAAACATACAAATGACCACTATCTTGAATTCCATTAAACTAAAAATAAGTTGTGATTAATTAATTACAAATGAAATGAATTACACTGTAGATAAGGGGCATATTTTTGTTTTTGATTATTTTTGTACCAATTTTAACTTTGTAATCAAAGGCATTTTCAAGAAAGGTTGTTAGTGTAATATTTCATGAGAAACTGTGTACATTTTTCTTTAATTAAAAATCAGCATTATTTTCTCATATTTTGTTGTTTTTCAGTGAAAACACTATTTTAAACTGCTTTGTTGATTTGTCACAGTCGTATAGCAATGTGAAAATAATTATCCAAATGTTGAAATTAAAAAAAAAAGTTATTTTCTTTATTACTAAGATGTTTTTGAGGTTATGAAGTGACAAGAAATTGACAAAACTCAATTTATTTTTGAAAAGGGCAGAATATTAAGTTATTTTCGGAAATAGACCCTGTCTTATCTTTTTTTCAATTTTATGTCATACACAGAATAGATCTCAGGTTTAGAGCAATCGTAATTTTTAAACAACCAAAAAATGTCTCATTTTGGAAGAAATGAACTGGCCAGTGGTGTTATTCTGTAACATATTACGGCGACTGTAATACAAGTGATAACCTTCAACTTTTACAATTTTTTAGTAACTGGTTAATGATATAGCAAAAATTATTAATCAGATTTACTTAATTTGTCACAAGAAATCAAACAAATGTTTCTGTAAAAGTTAAGCTTTATTTTGTGATATTTTTTTGTGACTATAAAGTTATAACACTGTAAGAAAATTACGGAATACAGGCGCAGGTTCACTGGTAAAAAAATTTCGAAACAATTTATGTTTTAAATTATGTTCTATTTGGATATATTCTATGAGATGTAGAATGTCTATGTATTAAAATCTACTTATACATTTATGAAAATTTCTACATGAAAAAAAATGTGGCATTTTCTTAGTTTTTTATTTATTAGTTACTCAAGTGATCTTGACTTTGGTAGTTCGGGTAATAATCCAGTATTTTGTTACCATATGAATTAAATAAAGGTTAATGCATTGGACAGGGTTATCTCCTAAATGTGAGTTAAGCGATAATGTAACAACTCTAGCACTCGTAAATTGCAAAGTAATACTGAATATCAATATGAATCTTTTTCTATAATGTGATATGACCATTTAGAATTTGATTTAAGGGTATACAAAGGATCCCGTACAGTTTGGTATCTGACACATGTCAAAAATGTTAATTATCAACTTTTCGAAGTCCTATTAATTTTTTCTATAAAATTTTTACAAAAGTTACTGTTTTTATTGCAATATTCTATCCATACTACTTTGCAGCCATCATCAGAACTGACTCAGACCGCTATAAGTAGGAAACATTTGATTTTCGGAATCAAGTACTGTGGAGACTTGGTCAGTAGCACAAAACCAACAACTTACCAAAATTTCAGCCAGTTTGTCCGAGTCCACATTTTCATAAAGACCGTGCGGGGTCCTTTAATGTCCACACTACGTCATATGTAATAATCAGAGAGCGGACAATTTGTGACTTTAACCTTGAACATAGATATGTCATTCATAAACCTAGATACATTACCCATGACGCAGTGGCGTGTCGGGTATGCATCGGAAATTTACGTGATAATTCACGAAAATTCCACGGTACATACATTTTTAGGCGTTANATAAACTTACAAGAAATAATCAAAACATTTATGAAAAGCTTGGACTATTATGTTGATAATACATAGGAGCTTATTTTATTTTTTATTGAAACATTCATTGGATTGACATGACTAAACATGACATAAACTTTTGCATAGTTTATACACAATAAATTTTTGAACGCGTACACATCTCTACCAAAATTTGACCTATTCTTCGAGTTAAAGTCACACATTGTCCGCTCTCTAGTAATAATTCAAATTTCAAATTAATTTTAATGTTATTTAAACTATAAAATATATTTATATTTTAATGTACCTACTTTTGTATTCTAGAATATGGATATGTGTTAAATGAAACATAGCAAATGGCCCCATTGTAATCAAATTAATATCAATGCAATAATAAAATGTTTAGCCATTTTTAACTTGAAAATATTGAAGAAGTGATTTTGATTGAATTGCTAAAGGCAAAAAATTTGAACAATTAACTCGTAAAGAGTCTTAATATCAACTTTTGGATTAGGATAAATTTAACTAAATTTTTTATTTTTCAGACACATTAATTCTGGGTCATTTCATATAGATGTGACAAACTGTGAATATTCAATTTTTAAATTAATTTTCTATTTATGTAGAAGAATCAGAGAATTTAACAGATTTTATAAACTTACAAGAAATAATCAAAACATTTATGAAAAGCTTGGACTATTATGTTGATAATACATAGGAGCTTATTTTATTTTTTATTGAAACATTCATTGGATTGACATGACTAAACATGACATAAACTTTTGCATAGTTTATACACAATAAATTTTTGAACGCGTACACATCTCTACCAAAATTTGACCTATTCTTCGAGTTAAAGTCACACATTGTCCGCTCTCTAGTAATAATTCAAATTTCAAATTAATTTTAATGTTATTTAAACTATAAAATATATTTATATTTTAATGTACCTACTTTTGTATTCTAGAATATGGATATGTGTTAAATGAAACATAGCAAATGGCCCCATTGTAATCAAATTAATATCAATGCAATAATAAAATGTTTAGCCATTTTTAACTTGAAAATATTGAAGAAGTGATTTTGATTGAATTGCTAAAGGCAAAAAATTTGAACAATTAACTCGTAAAGAGTATTAATATCAACTTTTGGATTAGGATAAATTTAATAAATTTTTTATTTTTCAGACACATTAATTCTGGGTCATTTCATATAGATGTGACAAACTGAATATTCAATTTTTAAATTAATTTTCTATTTATGTAGAAGAATCAGAGAATTTAACAGATTTTATAAACTTACAAGAAATAATCAAAACATTTATGAAAAGCTTGGACTATTATGTTGATAATACATAGGAGCTTATTTTATTTTTTATTGAAACATTCATTGGATAGACATGACTAACTAATTTTTTTCCAACTTTTAGTTGTGAAACGTTCTGCTAATTTACAACCTGAAGCGAAATTTGCTCAATTTGCTGGAAATGGAATCACTGAATTTGACATAGTAAATTTGGAAGAAGTCCTTGCCTATGAAAAACAACTTAGCAATATTTAAATAAGTTATTATAATAGTGTTTATTTCATAAAATAGGGTTAATTTATATATATCATATCAGTTTTCCTATGTTGAGGTATATAAAAATAAATTTTACATAGTTTACATTACTTATATAATGTAGTAGTGGTGTATTAAAACAAGAATAAGAATTATAAATTGTAAATTCTTGTAAATTTTATAAATAAATAATATACTCCTTAATCAATTGTTATTGTGTGTAGTGTTTAAAAATATGTTAGATTACTGTTAGCTTCATTATTATAGATGAATAAAAAAAAATGAGTTCAATTTTGAAAGGAATAATCATTTTTCTGTCGTTAAATACATATGTATATTTATGAATAGCCTTATACAGCAATTTAATTTTTATCCTAAATTAAAACTAGTGTATACAATAGAACTTTTTAAAAACTTGGATAAGCTTGATTATTAGGATCAGTGATCTTATTGGAAAAGGGAACTGGTTAAACTTAATAATTGTTCGGAAAGTGATTAAGAAAAGTGGATTTTAATTGTCTATCTCAAATTTGATAGATTATTAGTTAGATCTGTGTTCTTAATGATTAGTATGATAAACAAGAATAAACATTTTAATAACAGTTATAAAAATTCACATTCTGTTTCCTGTTAAATCGTGGAATAGTGCACTAAAAAATGTTAGACTGACGTCAGATGGTTTGCCCAAGGTTGTTAAAAGGACATTGCGGCATTTTTGAGGCAGGAATACGTCATCACAGTGTTATAATTTGATGTCTATCATTTAATTCAATATTATTTAAATTATTAATAATTTTAATTTCTGCGTGAGTAAATGTTTCTAAACATTACACTTGCGACATTTCTAAAATTCAGATTACGTAAAAAGGAACTACAACAAAACAATTTGATGTGCAACAGCAACACCTCTGATGAAGTAGTTAACGTAAACCAAGAGTTTTCGATGCTGCTACAAAATGAGTTGATATTTTGGTTCAGATGCGACTAATAAAGTAGGTAATACTTTATGATTTTCCTATTTCCAGTATAAGCAAGAAGTTGTTCTAAGTGGTCATCGTATCGAGGATATATTTAATACATAGACATTAAATTTGAAATTCATCAAGTGCAGGTATAATAAAATATCCATATATTTTCATTACAAATTTTTGTAATATGTTTCTGCCAATTTTGTTTTCATGTACGTTGAAACTGATAGTTCAGCATATCCACACCAGGCTTGAAGCAACGATAGGTTGCTTGAAAATGACGATAAAATCGGCCAACGCCATCGTATTTGATATTGATTATACATTAAAAAAATGCTTGGTTTAAAATCCTAGCTGATCCTGTTTTGAAGATATCGATATTTTTCATTTTTCAACCATGCTGTAAAATTTTATTTAGCATAATTTAAATAAAAATTCATTGATACATAAATAAAAATATTTGTTATTTGTGTGNTGACAGGTTTATTGTTCAGAATTCGCCGTAATTTCGCCGCACGACCAGAGAAACTACTCCGCGTACATTGAAATTTAGAGCATGCAGCATCCACCTTGCTGTATCTCTAAACTTTCCAAACAGGTACACACGCCAGTGCATTTAGCTGAAACTTTGAAACAGCATTTGTATTTCTACAATTACTTACATCGCTTGATAAAACGTAAAAAAGGAAAACAATTAAATTTTCTTTTCTGTTCTGTTGCAAGCAGAATGTCAAATGAATAAACAAAATGACACAAATAATAATTACTGTTATAGCAACCATCATTTTTATTTATTAGGCTACTTTGATTGAAATATGAAATTAATTTTTTTTAAATGCTAAAATATTCCACGGAAGCCTTGTCTCAACACTAAGGTTTATCGGGTAAGTGGTGTCATTTAAATTTATTAATTTTTTTTAAATGCTAAAATATTCCACGGAAGCCTTGTCTCAACACTAAGGTTTATCGGGTAAGTGGTGTCATTTTAATTTATATATATATTTTGTTCAACTACTCTCTTGGAGATCAGATACCATTTCCACACCATCAATGAGATAGATATCACGGGCGCGTTTTTTTTAAAGTGGTTTCTCCTGTAGACCTAATCCACTAGCTGAAACAAGAATAAGTTATCTTTTTTTATTTTATGTGTTGAGAAGAAAATGTGACTACCGCTTTCTTTAATCGGCTCGAATACGTTTCGTCATTAATCGCGTTTATTTTGAATATTTTCCAATATTTGAGAAATTCTCTATGGACCGATTCTCCAGCCTGTTCAGTCACCTTTTCGTCTACATCATTAAGGTCCTTAATGATATAGNTCCGGATATCTCCGAAACTACCCGGAATTTTAAAACTTTCTAAACAGCATATTGTTAGGTATAAAAAAACACAACTTTTTTCTAATCTGAGCCACCCCGTATCTCTTACCGTTTCCTAGATACTAATGCCTATCCCTAATGCCAAAAAATTATTATTTATTTTATTTATTCACTATTCGACTTACGTTTATAGCATTACTGTACAAAAATAGTTTTTTTTGTATTTTTTCCGTACAGTTGAATGGTGTAATCAGTTTTTGATTTTTTTTAAAATTTAAATAAATTATCAATAATTACTGAAAAATTCATTACTGAAAATCATATTTTTTTACATTTTTGAGCATGTTTTTAAACTGTGATTATAAATTTTTTTATTTCACTAAAAAGTATATGTCAAAACGAAAAAAATGATTACCGGCAGAACTCTGTACGATGATTTTTTAAGTAGAATTTTTCTTTGAAGAAAAAGTGTTTCAGGCCGAAAAAAATTAATATCTTAGAAACTTCTTAATTTTTTTATCTAAAAAATGTTAGGTTATTTAAGACAGAAAAAGTTACACTTTCACCAAGTTTCGTGAAAATTAAATAATTTTTGCGGATATGAGAAATAAAAAAAGAAAAATCAGACCTGTTTTTCGCATTTTTCTCGGAAATTTTGAGGTTATGTTAAAAAATGACCTCTACAAAAGTTGTAGATTTTTGCATGATCTACAACTTGTATGTGATACTTTTTGTCTGACGTCAACTTTCGCCAGAAATCCCAATGATACAATTTTTCATAACTTTTCCACCCCCCAAATCAACCCTCCGCCGCCCCTGCTCACGCATTTATTGTTTTTTTCGTTTATTATAAGCCCCTTTACTATTTCCACTTATAAAAATCCAGGTAACAATTTTTTTTTTTTTTCCCTCTAAATGAGTTACTTTGATCGGTCTACTTATCCTATTTTTAAAATCTTCACAATTTTTTTTATACTCAATTTATTAATTGAAAAAAATATAATAATGACACATTATAAGAAGCAACAAAATATTAAGATTTTGAAAATTTAGCCCAATAAGAATAAACTTCAGCGAAAATTGCACTGGGCTTGACAGCCAAAACGACATTGAAACAATAAAAACTCGAAAATTATTTATTTCTATCTTGTTCTGTTTTGTTCTGGAAATAGTTTAATAAATATATTTCGTGCATTAAAAACAATCTCAAAATTCAGCATTCAAAGTGTGTTGCCTTTAAGAAAACGCATTCAAAATGAACTTCAAGCTATTTATAAGCAACACGATTTCTTGCACTGAATTTTCGATAATTTTTAATGCACGGAAGAGTATTCTATAGCATACACTTATTACAAATATTTTACAGAAAATTATTAAAACGCTTGGAAAAGACACCTAGCCTATGCTTTAATAAATTAGCACTGTTGCCATGTTTAAGGGCCTCGGAGTTTGCAATTGCTTTGTAAATGTAACGTATGTATGGGGGCCTCGCATTTGTTACTCCCAATTATATACAGGACTACTGAGGCGACCCCTACCTAATATTGAATGAACTAAAAACTGTATAAGAGGTGATATGCACATCACTTGTGAGTCCAAAAAAAAAATTGACAGGTTGCTACAGGGGGGTAGGGAAAGGAAAATAACTGTACATACACGCATTTTACATGCGAGGCCCGATTTCGGGCCTCGCATGTGCAAAACGGGCCTCGTTTGTATGAGTTATATGTAATTACAGGCCTCGCATGTGCAAATGATAGGTCTATATATATATGTAAAACAACCGAATGACACCAAAAGCTAAATACACGTTCTCGCACCCAAATTATTATGACGTTATATGCCCAACTGACCCCGTATATTTCCAATTATTGTATGTACACTCTGGCACCGTATATATTAAAATTAGTTTTAATCGCGTTTTCTGCTAGATAACCATAACTATATAAACCGTCAGATCTAATATCGCAGAGGCGGCGGTAAAACAAACCACAATAGAATACATATATTTTTTAATTTTAATAAGTACATAAAATAAAAAATAAAAGAATAGTTTACATCTTTGCTTCTTTCTTTTACAAATATTGAATTTTTTAAACTTATTTCTTTTAACGACCACTGCTTCTTTTTCTGCCCTGGACGTGTTTTTTTGTGGATATATTTTCATTCCCTCTTCATCTGAAGATATTACTGCACGATGCCATCGACATGAAACTTTATTATCTTCAGAGGATTCACTATCACCATTTAGAGACATTTTGGATGTTCCTGTATACAAATCAGTGTATATACAGGGTGATCTATTTCAAACCCGAACACACACATACAATATTTATTTACGAGGCGAACTTGCCCAACTTTTTTAAATTGTAAAGGGGAAAAAAGTGTACTTTAGGAGCAAATGTGATCCTTTTTGTAGAAAAACCAAGGCTTATTAGACCATTTTTGAGGAGTAAAAATTGAGGAAACTATGTTAGCAATTTTTTTAGAAAAAAATTTGAGTACGTCATTGAATTAAGCAACTCCTAAAATGGGCCTGTCCCAAATTTTATAAAAAAATATTGCATTGAATTATTTTACTTTATTTACCAAATTGTTAATCGTTCTATGTTTATGGATTCATGTTTTCATTCTCTAATCTGTGAAATAAAAATGAAGAAGAACCATTGCCATATAAAAAAACAAAAAAATAAATGGAAAGAAAAAAAAACAAAAAATTTACAAACAATAAAATTATTGTTCTTTCTACTTCCAGTCTATTCAGGTTTATTCTAGGAGAGGCTTAATTCAGTGGCGTACTTGAATTTTTTCGAAAAAAATTACTAATATAGTTTCTACAATTTTTGCCCCTCAAATAAGATGATCTAGTAGGTCTTGATTTTTGTACAAAAAGGATGACACTTCCCAAAGTATACTGTTTTCCTCTCTATAATTCAAGAAAAGTTGGTCAAAATCGCTCTGTAAATAAAAAATTTATGGGGGAGTCCCAGTTTCAAATGGGTCACACTGTATAAGCCCTCTTATCCCATATTCCTCAATAATTTGAATTATTTTTTAAAATTCTGTATCCGTTGAATGAGTATCCATTTATCCAAATTCAGCAATTGTTACCGTCGCTAAACTTTTAAACAGTTTTACTGGTCAATTATTTCACTCAGGGCAAATTCATACACTGTTAATTAATAGATAATAATTATTATCTGCAAGTATGTTCTTTAATTTTTATAATATAGTCCAAAATAATAATGGAAATAATAGGATTTATATGAGAGAACAGCAAATCAGTACCTACAAAACATGCTTTGATTTCCCTTCTTAAAATGAAGGTGGCCAACATTAAATAAAATATATTGAAAAAATATTTATATAAAGTAAAAAAAAATATTTACGAATCATTTGCAGCGCCTTTTGTACAATTTTTCCAGACCTGGATAAATTAGACGTCAAAGAGGCGGGATTATCTGCTGAAATTAATTGTATTCATAACAACCCTCGATTATATTTTATGTAGTGTTAATTTAATTATTAAATTGTGCAACTTACCGCTCACATTTACTGGTTTTTAGTTCATTTTGTATGTACACCTACGCTCCTACGCATATAACTTAGAAAATGCAAACAACCTAACTTTAATCCTATTGCCATTTTAAACTGAAATNAATGTTAATTAAACACTTGAAAAATATTCCTACATACAGTTATCATAATATTTCGTTTGTTCATAATTTTCGAGATCAGAAAAAAAAAGAAAGGAAGCTAGATGCTTAAAAAATTTCTGCTTCCCATTTTTTTTATGATAACTACTATTCTGGCTCGTGCCACACTGCGTGTCAAATAGTAACATAAATATAAAATAAAAGAACATCCTACCTGACCTCGTTTGTTTTTTTTAATGAAATCTTATTGTTAGTTCATAATAAATATTGTTTATCAACCAATTGTGCTTTTTAATGAAATATTTGAAGAATATTCCTACATATACATAAGTATTTATTATAATATTTCGTTTGTTCATAATTTTCGAGATGAAAAAAATAATAAAATACCATATGGTGTGTTACGAAAAAAATATATATCACGCGACGGACTCGAACCAGCGATTTCGTGACTGTCAGTGCCGAACGCTATCTATTAGGCCACGCTCACAGTTGAAGAATGTGTCACATCTAGTGGATTTAGCTGTCAAGTAAAACTTCAAAATCGATTATCTCGGTAATTTATGAACATTGCGTCGAACTACTTCGAAAAATTCTTATTCAAGGTCCAAACTACACGTACCATAAATATCAAAAATTACAAAAATCCGACTACCTTACCTGTTAGATTTAATGTCTATCTCTAGACGCAAATTATCAATGCTAATACGGAGAAGAGTTTGTAAAAATAACAAAATCTGTTTTTTAATGGTAAATGGATAATATTGGATATCTGACCGTAGTTTTCTATTTGGATCAACTTTTAATAGCGATTGTCGATATTTTAAAAAATAAAGTTACTTTACTCTTGAGCAAAATTTATATTTTTCGACAAACCTCGTATACGACTGCAAAAAATTGAAATCTGATTATTTCATTTTGGGTTTTAGGCCATGCAGAATTCTTCGTCAAGAATAACATTTTTTCATAAAACCAAAAAAGAGAAGGAGCGTTAAATTGACGTCCTCGGGATGTCGGTTATTCAATTTTGTATTGCGATGAAATTTGTTTGTATACAATTGCGGTACAATAATTGTATTAATTCGAAATTGACACAATTATTGAAGTAAAAATTGTAACGTTAGTGGCTCGTTTAAATCAATCTAAATACGTCTACTGTAAAATCTTCGTAGTGGGAGAGCGATAGTCTCCGCCTCCAGCTGTAACGCCCGTGCACCCGACCCCGCAGCGATACCTTAGCAGTGTACAGAGAACGGACTCTTAAACACGTGCTTGACACGCATTCGCCTTATCAACTTTTAACATCGAATATCTCGGAAACTGACCATTAGCGAACTTTGGGCACATGAAGACTTTTGTTCCTCATAACAAAAACAACCTATTCCCAAAATTTCATTAAAATTGACCGAACGAAGTTTCCCATAAGGTTTGTGCGGGGTCCTTTGTATTCTGTTTTATTTTATTTGAGCCTACAAAATATTAAATAGGTTATGCAGATACTTACGTTATTTATTGAAATTAATAAATAGTAAAATAATGTGTTAGATAAGGAGCCTATCGATAGAGGACTCATAGAAGAAAATGGTAGAAAAGCAAACATTTAGAAATTGAAGTGAACTCAGTGAAAATAGATTTAATATCTTATATGTATATGAGGGTTGCTTTCGCTGTACAGCAAGAATAAAACGCTCTCTCAACGGTAATAATAATGAATTTTATTGAAAACTAATGTATAGAAAACTTGTGTGAGTGTTCGTTGGAGAGTGCTTTGTGGTTGAAATCGGTCGTAGGTAGCTTGGTAGTCGGTGGCAGATCCATGGTCCTGGCGCCACTCTGCAGGGGTCGGCTTCCGGGAACCCCGTGGTGCGTCCGGCGGCGTTCTTGACGTTGTCCTTAAAAATGGGTCACATGTGTACCCACACACCCCCCTGCCAGTATGGATGCCATCACGGAATTTGCAGCCGGTCAGGGAAACGGACCCTTCTACCGGACCTAGTGGTAATTGCCTTGGGTGTGGTTGGCACGGATAATGGGGCGGAAGTTGATGGAAGGCTATTGTCCTCGTCCCTGGTAGCTGTCGCATCATTCAAACACCCGCGTATGCGGGTTTTACTCTGTCTATGGACACTTTAACTTCGCGACCACGCACTAGCACCTTGAATGTTTTGTCGTCGCGTTTGATCACTGTAAACGGACCATCATATGGGTTCTGTAATTGAGTTTTAACGCCGTCCGCACGCACAAAAACATGTGTCGCTGTTGCCAAGTCTTTAAAAACGAATGGCATCTTCTCGCCATAGCGTTTAACTGCTGCTGGACGTAAGCTTTCCATATGATGTCTGAGTCCTTAACAAAATTCGCTTCGGTGCTGAGCTCTTCGTCCGTCCTGCGGGAATGAAGAAATTCTCCGGCTAGGCGTAGATGTTGTCCGTACACCATCTCGGCCGCGGTAGCTTGAATGTCTTCTTTCCATGCTGCACGTGAATGCTAGTCCATCGATCGTTTTGGTGGCATTTTATCGCTGCTTTTAATTGGCGGCGAAAACGCTCTACCATGCCATTTGCTGCTGGGTGATATGCGGTGGTATGGAGATGAGTCGTACCTAGTAAACTATTCGGGCGTCTGAAGAGGTGCAATTCGAACTGTCGACCCTGATCCGTCGTTATTCGCAAGGGTGATCCAAATCGGCATATCCAATTCGCATATAAAGCGCGAGCTACTGTTTCTGCCTCCTGGTTCTTTAGTGGGATTGCTTCTGGCCACCTGGTGAAACGGTCTACGCAGGTTAAGCAGTAGCGGAAGCCCTCGGATGGCGGCATCACGACGATATCCACGTGGATATGTTCAAATCTCGTTGACGAAGGTTGAAATTAACCTGTCGGAGAAGTTATGTGTCGTGTCACTTTTACGCGTTGACATTCGACGCAGCAACGGGTCCATTGTCTGCTATCACGCTTTATTGACGACCAGACGAAGCGTTGCGTAAGGAGCTAGACTGTGGCGTTAATAACGGGATGCGAAAGACGATGCATCGAGTCGAATACTACTCTACGAAATGGCTTGGTGATAAACGGCCGGGCCACGTCCGTAGATACGTCACAAAATACAGTCGCGTTCGTGTCGGGTATTTTGATACGCTTTAGTGTGAGGCCGTGTTGTCCGTCGATGTACTCCTTAATTTCGTCGTCATTTTGTTGCGATGCTGCCAGTGCCTCATAGTCTAAAGTCGCGCATATCTCGTTTACCCTGGACAAGGCGATCAGCGACCAGCCATGTGACGAATGTCTGTCGTAAACTGGCCAATGAAGTCTAGATAGCGGAATTGTCGCGGTGTACACTGACTTGACTTTTTCGCGAAGGCAAACGTAAGAGGCTTATGGTCGGTGTAAACCGCAAATGTTCTTGCCTCGACCATATGCCGGAAGTATTTAACTGCTTCGTAAATCGCAAGAAGTTCGCGGTCGTAAGCAGCGTATTTGCACTGAGCTGGGTTAAGTTTTTTTGAAAAATACCCTAGCGGTTCCCAATCGTCCTCAACTTTTTGTTGCACTACGGCACCAATTGTAAAGTCAGAAACGTCACACACTAGAGCGATTTTCGTATTTTCACCGGGGTGCGCGAGTAGAGCTGCCTGTGCTAAGCTCTCCTTAGCCGCCTCGAAAGCACTTTTCGCGTTTTCTGTCCAATTTATGGGTGCTTTCCCTTTAACATCCCCTTTAAGCAGGTCATTCAGTGGCGCCTGGGTACCTGCTGCGTTGGGTACGAACCGTCGGTAAAAATTAAGGGCACCAAGGAATTGTCGTAATTGCTTTATTGTCGTAGGCAGCGGGTAGTCTTTTATTGCCTCGACCTTTTCGGGCAGCGGTCGCGTGCCCTCACTTGACACCAGATAACCGAGGAATTTCACTTCGCTTTGTCCGAACACGCACTTTGCGGACTTTACGACGCCGTACTTCCGCAGCCGTTGGAACAGTGTTTCCAGGTGAGGAAGGTGTTGCTCTTCAGACGATGATGCTACAAGGATGTCGTCGATGTACGCGTAGCAGAAATTCAAGTCGCGTAAAACCTCGTCTATGAAGCGTTGAAAGGTTTGAGCTGCATGGCGTAACCCAAAGGTCACATGCGTGTAATCAAATAACCCGAAAGGTGTAGTGATAGCTATCTTGGGAATATCTTCTTCCGCGACGGGGATTTGATGAAAAGCGCGAATCAGGTCGATGGTTGAATATAATTTTCTACCTCGAAATGATTGTGCAAAGTCCTGAATATGTCGCACAGGATATAGGTCTGGACGCGTTCGTGCTTTAAGCCTACGATAATCGCCACATGGTCGCCATTCTTCACCCTTTTTTGGCACGCGGTGTAAGGGTGACGCCCACGCACTGCTCGAAGGACGGGCGATACCTAATCTTAGCATATCGTCGAATTCCTTTTTCGCTGCTCGCAATTTGTCTGGCGCTAATCTACGCGGTTTCTCAGCGACGGGGGCACCAGATGTTATCTCAATGTAGTGCCTGGTTTGGTGTTGTACAGCCGCAGAAGGAGCTGCAGGACGCGTAATGTCCGAATACTACTTGAGCAGGCGATGGAACAAGGATTCCCCGGAAATCGTCCTGACTGAGGGTGTCGCAGAATGCGCGAGTTGGCCTGGAGACGTAATTCGCGTTGTTTGGTCAAGCAGTCTTTTGTTGCGCACATCCACCAGTAGTCCATAAAAAGATAAAAAATCTGCACCAATTATCGGTTTTGAGACGTCTGCAACGACAAATTGCCATGTAAAACAACGGCGCAACCGGAGGTTTAATGTCATTGTCACTGTGACGTACGTAGCAATTGATGTACCATTTGCCGCGGAAAGTTCATACGTTGATTTCGATCGCGACGATTTCACTAGCGCACGCGGATATACACAAAGATCAGCACCCGTATCGACGAGAAACTGGACCTTGATGGAGTACGTATCCGTAACGTACAAACGGCGCGGAATCGGGCACGGGTCGCTGTTCGCCATCACCGACTGCCCGCCTCGTTTCCCGAATGATACGTGCACGGATCGCGACACTCGCGAGCGCGGTCACCAAAACGTTGGTGGTATCAGCACTGACCACTGTCACTGTCATGGCTTCGCGATCGGTCTTGCGAACGCGATCTGGGTGTTCTCGTAGTCGGTCGCCGCGGTTCACTCTTCGCGAACAGCTTCGTCATTGCCTGCGACATCTCCACTAACTGTTTCTCGATGCAATTCAGTCTGTCGTCTTTTGGACTGGATTTGGCCACCTCCTGGAGCGCTGTGCCGGGCATTACTGTCTCCATAACTGCGTCGGCCACCTCCGCGACATCGTCCAACGCGGCATTCTTCTGAGTCGCGAGAATTGCCTGTACACTAGACGGCAGGCGCCCTATCCACAGCGTGCGTAGGAGCGAATCGGAAACGGTAGACCCTGCTAAAGCTCTTAATCGGCGCAAAAACTGAGACGGTTTCGAATCCCCGATTTCTTCGCGCTCTGGAGTCGCCTCCTTTTTTGTTGCTGAGACGTACTCAGTCGTCTTATTAAAGCTGACCTAAGTACGGAATAAGGCTTGTCTTGGGGTGGATTCATCACCAGTTCGCGCACTTCACTCATCACGTTCCTCTCTAGAGCAGTAACGAGGTAATTAAACTTTGTCTCTTCACTTCGCTATTCGAAAACTTCTGTCCACTACCTGAAGCCACATCTCTACATCGTCCGAAATAAATGGTGGAAGTTTCACTGCGACATGGTTCACTTCCGTCGCGGTATAATTTTCGACTTGGTTTTCTTCGTTGAGGCTCATGTCGCTTGCTACGTTGCGCGAAATATAAACCACTCTAATTGCACAAAATCGCGTACTTTCGCTGAAAAGATCACGTCGGGGTCACCACTTGAGGGTTGCTTTCGCTGTACAGCAAGAATAAAACGCTCTCTCAACGGTAATAATAGCTATTTATGATATACGTGTTAAAAGTAAGATTTTATTTTGTGAGTGAAGATGAATAAAAAACGAGCGTAGCGAGTTTTTTAACTTCACGAACAAAATAAAATCACTTTTAACACGTATATCATACACTATTTTTTCTACAAAACTGTTAAAAGTGGGCTTTTTAATTGTCATTTTTAATGTTAAAAATGTCACTTTTTTGACACGCGTGTTAAAAGTAAGTTACTTTTAACACTAGTGTTCGTGAAGTTAAAAAACTCGCTACGCCCGTTTTTTAATCATCTTCACTCACAAAATAAAATCTTACTTTTAACACGTATATCATAAATAGCTATTATTGAACAAGCCGGGAACCCCGTGGTGCGTCCGGCGGCGTTCTTGACGTTGTCCTTAAAAATGGGTCACTTGCAACATGTGTACCCACATATATAATCGGCTATAGTACAGAGCATGCCGTGACAATCTTTTAAATTTGAATGCAACCGCGCCTAATTATTGGACATGCGCAAAACACACGGAGTACGTCTCGCCCCAACTTTTTGGAAACAAGGTCATCCATTGAAACTATAGGTAATGATCAGTATAGGATAGAAGTATGTGAAACTAATCGAACAAAATGACAGACACTGACAAATTGCCAACGTGGAAATAACACTAAAACAATCAGACGAAAACACAATAAAACTAAACAAAAAACTTGACAACTAATTAACAGACAAACACAAGACAAAACACATATTCTCGCACCCGCTCCTCATGCACAAACAAACGCAAAAAAGACACGACACGGTCCTCTAGCAATGACGAGGCCCCCAGAGACAAAAAACACGAGCAAACAAAACATAACACACACTCCCAAACACCTAAGGTCGTCAACTGAGACCAGGTCATACTTAAATTATTGTACTATATTTACATTACGGTATATACAGGGTGATTCAGAACTTATCCAAAAAAAAATTCTGGATGTACAGGGGACCCTTACAAATACAATTTTGTAAAAAAAAAATGAAAAAGGTCAGTTCGAAATTGATTTAAAAATACACTTCTGCACGGCACTGAATACTGGTCCACTGTAAAACCTGAACTTGCACAATGCGACCGGTATGGCGGCGTGATAAAAACGGACAAAAACTTTCACAAGGAAAGAAATATGTAAATAGAATTTTATCGCACCTATTTTATATCGGCAAATTCAAATGCTTTTGCCTTTTATTAATTATTAATAAAATTAATTTATGTTTTTAAATAATAAAATCATTTGACATACCCGATGCTGCAACAGCAATTGTTCAAAATTTTATCCACTCACGTGTAAACACATTTGGGTCCGTCTTACTCATTTTCTACGAACTAACACAAATGATGTCTTGCTTCACCATAACACAAATACTTCACCATAATACAAATGTTGTCTTGCTTCACCATAAATTAAAACGATATCCATCAACTCTGAGTTGCTATACACGCAAGCCATTTTTGACACTAACTACTAAAAAACTGATGTAAATACCACAGATAACAGGTAAAAACTACCGCAACGACGGATTTTAGTATTAGGAGTCACATGGCTCTCCACGCATATTGCGAATGACGCTAGAGACTACAGTTGTCCAGCTATGTAGTGGCTTAATGTGCTATAACTTCAATAATTTTTTTTCTCAGAAACTATATATAAGGATTTTACAATTTTTTTTTTACAATATTGACTCCATTTCTCATGCCGCATCTATTCCCAAATTTTTTGGGATAAGTTGTGAATCACCCTGTATAGAGTGTGTCGGGAGAATCGCACAACTCCAGAAATGGATTCCACACGTCAAAATAAAAAAAACTTATATGTTGTTATAACGATTTTCATTTGTTTTCAAGTTATAGCGTAATTACAAATTTTAAAATTTGAAATCAGAGTAGGTATGTCAAGTTCAAAAGTAGGATATTTCTCAGTGTCATGTGTGTTGCAAATAGTTTAGCATTTAATTACCTTCACTTTTGTATAATCAAAGTGTTACAAAATGCCAAGAACTTATTTAAATTTAGAGTATACAAATATGTGGTGTGTTTGTTTATGGTTTTTGTAAGGGGAATACATACTAATGCTGCTGTTGAAGAATATCGTCAAGGGTTTCCACATTAGGGATGCCCTGATAAAAATGTATTTATCAGAGTTTTCAAGAGTGTGAGAACGGAAAGCTTTGCAGTGCTAGTATAACATCTGAACGAGATCATTGACAAGTTTTAGAAAAAGTTGAAAATATTCTAGTAGATACAACTAACAGCTCACGAAGAATTGCTACTCAATTGGGCATTCCACAAAAATGAGTAAAAAAAACCTCCACAAGCAAGGCTTATATACGTATGTACCATGTACAATGGGTACAATACCTACAACCAGAAGATTATGCTAAGCGTATATAGTTTTGTCAATGGATCAATAATAATCATCTTGTTGCATCCCGCATTCTTTTTTTTTAGGATGAAGTAATATTCACCCGTGACAGCATAACTAATATTCGGAACTCTTATGTATGGTCGGACGAAAATTCTCACACAAAACTCGAAAGTAATAGTCAACATAGGTTTTCGGTAAACATGTGGTGTGGTATGATCGATAGTTATTTAATTGGTTCTTTCATTTTGGAGAATCGACTCAAAGGAGACCACTACTTATTTTTTTTACAAAATGAATTACAAGTACTATTAGAAGATGTTCTTATAAACATGAGACTGTGAATGTACTACTAACACGATGGAGTTCCTGCACATTTCGCTCATCCAGTCAAGGTACATTTGAACGAGAGGTTTCCAGGACGTTAAGATTGACTGCCAGGATCCTAATTAGTCGATCTCCAAGATCTCCAGACTTTACAGCACTAGAGTACCTACTGTTTATGGGGCTGGTTCAGAAAGTGAACACTCGGGAAGCACTAATTCAAAGTATCAATATTGCAACACTTATTAAAGAAAGATATGCAGCAATCAGGAGAGCTACAGACACCCTTCGTAGAAGAAGCAGAATATGTTTACAGGTCATTGTCAATGGTGGTGTTTTTGAACATTTAATCAAAGAAATCTACGATTAATAGAATATCAATAATTTTTTTTAAATGTACCTACATCATAACTTGAAAATAAATGAAAATCACATAATCACATTTGAGGTTTTTTTATTATTTTGACGTTTAGAATCCATTCCTGGAGCTTGATGTGATTCTCCTAACTCACCCGGTATATTATAGATAAAATAAGCCAATTTAAGTTGGTTATTTATATAAAATGGTGTAACTTCCATATTTTTGTATGGTATGTGAATCGTATTTAAAAAGTCAGTTTCAATATGTAGATCTAAACGTAAAGGTCAAGTACATAATACAATAGGTACATAATGTCTAAATAAAGTGTCAAGTTCGAAGAAACATTATCTGTCTTGCATAATAAAATGTGAAGATTTTTAGGCTCCAACAGCTCTAGATTAGTAGAAAAATGATAGACAGTTCGTCAGTTCTGTTTTCAAGTCATCACCACATGTGCATAAGCACACCATACTATTTTCACACCAACACAGGCAGAAGTTATTACTATTCAGAATCATTTCCCAAAATACTAAATTTCAATCTAAAAATGTTTAGATAGGTATTTTACCAATTTTGCACAGCTGAACATGCACAAGCAGAATGTTTTAACAAGAACGAGTTTTTCCAAGTTTTTTTTCTGTTAGTGACAAAGAAAAAAGTTATCCCTCTTTTCAATTTCATCCATGGGCATAGGTACTGTCGGTAGGTAGGTATTTTCTTTTGCTTTCTGTGGATGAAATGACTAAACACAAAACTTTACTTCTTATACAAATTAAAATAGGTAGCAGTTTCAGTAAAATAAATAGTCGTTATAATAATGCTCCTTTTAGAATTCATGGTGAATAATATTAAATAAAACAAATTTTCTATAAACTATTTATTACATTGTTTTATACACAAAAACATACAACATTCAAAATATCAGTCTTGCAATAATATATTTACTGCACATTCAAACAAATTTTATTTCACAAAGGGTAATAATTAAAAAAGTTAAATGATGAATATTTACAATTGTAAATGCACATTCTAACAGTCACACGGCCTACTTAAAACAAAAAATAATTTAAGAAAACATTATTCAAACTAGAGTAAAAAAAAACAGGACCAAATCAATTGCACTTTAATAGAGTTGAGCAAATTTTATAAAATGCGTGAAATAAATTTAATTTTCGTGCTGTTTTAACAAGTGAATTACACAAAAATTGAAAATTAAAAATTTGTTTATAAAATAACGATTGTCACAGAGCACCGAAACAATTTAGTTTGGTTTTCTATTAATTACATATTCATCATATTTGAAACACAATAACCCAAAAGAGTTAGTTTACGGATGGCACTATTTTAGGAATAAAAAAAATGGCATCAGTGTAAATATTATGTAATAATAATACATTTACCAGAAAATATCTAGAAACTAAAAATTTATAGAATGATGTGTAACCTAATACTGGAATCGAAGTTTATATTTGAAATGGAGAATATTTTTTATTGAATCATGACTATTACAGATACATAATTATAATATTGAATATTTACGATTCACTACTAAATATTTAAGCTGTTTAGGTACATAGTGATATTCTGTAATTTTTATATGGTGTTACATTGATAAAAAACATTACAAGGTTTGCGAACAATATAAGCTTAATGTTTACAGCAACATCTGATTTTCTGTAATATTTTACATAAATCGGATTAATATTTTTATTATTGGAACAATATTGGTCAAATTACTGAAAACTGAAAATTATGTTTTTAGTTGTTACAAAATGGCATTAATCAAAATACAGTTCAACCAATTTCATCTGGCTGGTGAGATATTCAAAGGTAAAAGGAGCATGCTCTACTATAAGTCAGAGCATCGAGATGTTTTAACTAAAGCATAAAAGGTAGAGAAACTGAAAATAGATAAAACCCTTGATATTATTAAATCTTTAAATGCATTAAAATACAGTTATTTACATAAAGTTGTATTTATTTATATATTATTTCATTGTCATTTCTCTGCACTGTGCATTTAAAATTTTATCTGAAATTTTAAAATAGTCATCCGGTCCTTTTTGGAAGAATGTAGTGTTTATTCTATTAGTGCCGAAATAAGTTCAGCGGGTTTCTTTGCAACTACCCATTCGATCTTCACGGGCTGGATAAAATAAGTTGGACTGTAGTTAATTTTAGTAATAAAATGAATGCAACTTTATGGCAAAATTTTTGAGTTACTGTGTTTTCCATTAAGTTTTTTAAATATTGTCAATTTGACTTTCATATGTGAATGTAGGTACTTTGACTTCTTATAGATATATTTTCAACTTAAAACAATAATATTTACAACTTGTCATATGTACAGCAATTATTATATTTATGTGTAAAATTGTATATCAATTTTGTAGATATTAGATGGTAAAATTGAGTAGGTACATCAATAAAACAGATTTAAGATTTAAAATAGACAAAAATATATGTTGGTGGTTGATATATATATATATACTCAAATATATCCTAACTTACATTGCTTTCAATTTATATCTGTTTACTTGGATGAACATAATAGTAATATACAGATGTATAACATCGTATTACTCGTATTAGTGATACTTTGTAATCTGAAAATCTATAGATATTTTAACTTTTTTTAATTGTGGGTAGAAAGTGTACTTTCCTATACAATTATGTTATCTCATAGATTAATCAGATGCGTACAGCTACAAGTAAATACATTAATAAATATCTTACAATTGTAATAAAGGCATTATACGTCCTGCTAAATTCTTTAATGACAACAAAGCAGATCGGTAACTGAAAATTAGAGCAGTTGCAGTACATATTTGAACTGACTTATTGTGATTTTATCTCATTATATAATTCAAATATGATGTATGTGGGATATATCTGAATATATATGGACATACATAAGTATTTGGTTTTCTGCATAAATATTAAATTAAAAATGTGAACAAATCAACATATCAAGTGTAAGTGGGAAATGTATATTAGATATACAACTTTACATTGGAGTTTATAGATTTTTAATGTAAAAAAAATAAAATAAACACTAGACAATCTTTATACTTGTGTCCGTAACTAACTTAAATAATGTCTTTTTAACTCGTAAAGCTGTTAGTCTGACTGCAGGGTTAGAATGCCAGCACTCTTGCATCACTTTTGACATTGTCTGCAAAATGTCCTCATTGTCCCACCTCAATGGTATTTGAGGTCTAATTTTTTTCACACACACAACTTGTTGCATATCCTCAAATGATGGATCTGACGGGACACAGTCGTAATAAGGTACCGCATATTCATCCACTACCTTCAGTTTATCCCCCGTTATACATCTTCGTGATATTTCCCACAAAACTAGACTGAAAGCATACATATCAGCCATCTTATGTGCGTCAAAGTTATGCATGTTTATAGATTTATCCAGTAGCTCTGGAGCCATGTACCGTCTTGTTCCTGATCTTACACTAGGAGGAACGTCAATTTCATTTGTATCTGACAGGAATTTGACAGCAAGGCCAAAGTCTGCAATACAACATTCGCCATTCCTTTTAACTAAAATGTTTTTGCTTTTAATATCTCTGTGCGCTATAGCAGGTTTACCACTTGTTCCAAATATTTCCGTATGCAAATGTGACAGTCCTGATGCAATACTTTGGGCCATTAAAAGTAGGCTATTTACATCTAAGCAATGGTCTTGAAGATAGTCATAAAGAGAACCATTTTCATGAAATTCGGTGATTAGTAACATTTGAGTCCAACTACCTGTTCCTTTAATATCTGCAGCAATAAAACCCAAAATATTTTCATGTCGCATCAGAACCGTTTGATATATTTCCGTCTCTCTAAACCAACTTTGCTCTTCAGTAGTAAAGAAGACTTTAACTGCAACTTTTTCACCTCGCCATCTGGCTAACCATACTTCACCGTATCTTCCTTTACCGACAGAATGTATCATTTGAATTTGTTTTGAAATAGTTCTTTGTACCAATATTGGCAATCCTGATCCCGAGCCACTGGACTGTTCAATCAAGTTCGCCAGGGGTCCATGAATTTCCATATTCGGATATTTTTCAGAGGGATAATTTTTTGAATATAAGCTAAATTTTTTTTGTACTTCTTTTTTACGATTCCTCAAAAATACTATTGCTACAACTAGCAGGACAAGTGTCAAACAGAAAGTTACTGACGTAAGTAGTACAGTGAAGGGAAGGTTGTCTGCAGAACCAAAATTGGGAGCTTCGGGTGTTGGTCTTTCTGGATATGTTGGCTTTAGGTCTAAATTGCACATATCCTTATCATTGCAGCATTGTATAGATTTGCTCGTTTCATGTGGAACCAGATGTCCTTTGCACTGAAAATAAAGTAATATATTAATATAATTAAAACAAATAAAAAAAAAACAATGAGTTTATTTCTTTCTGATACCCTTAGTTTTGAAATTATTTAAATATTTCTTAGCAAATGCTTGAAGTTTTATAAATATGTACCTGTATATTAAAACCAAAAGTAGTTACCCAGAAAACTGAAAGTAATAATTTTCTGAAAAATTAACAGTGTATTTTTAAACTTTTACACTCTTAGGGTGAAGATTATTCTTTTTGTGGCAATCGGCGATAAGCTTGCCATAGTTGAAAGCTATAAATGTAAATGGAACCCCTATGTTCTATTTACATAGAAAAATTAATGCCATTAAATTTATTTATTTATTACAATAATAATTTTAGAATAAGATTTATTCTATTCATCATTATAAGGGTCAACAATGCTGCACAAATTTAAATATACACTTTCTATGACATAGTCGGAGTTGTGGAGCATATTCACTCTCACTCAGATTTCGAGGAATATCAACTGAAATATCCGCTATTACAAAAGAGTTTAGATTCCTGATTTGGAGTACAATGACTCTGTCAGATTTTGAGAAGCTACAATCAAAATATCTACTACTACAAATAGCAGCAAATAATTTTAAGTACCTACCTAAATTGAATTATGATCCAGTTAAATTTCGAGGAACTACAAATGAAACAAGCGCTACTACAAATAACTACAAACGATGTTGTAGTCCACAGCTTAGAGTAGAGTACTGAATCCGCCAATTTTCGAGGAATTATAAATCAAATAAACGCTACTACAAATTATTTTAGATAACTTGGATTATAGTGAATAATATTCTATTAAGTGTTATTACAAATGACTAGAAACGATTTTATATTAAAGCTGAGGGTAGAGATTCTCCGTCAATTTTTGAAAAACTACAAATGAAATATACGTTAGAACCAGAGCTTAAAATGTAGAAGTTTGGTTTTGCAAGCGTTTTACAAATTTTGTATTGTATAATATTGTCTAAATTTTTAAAATAGGGTATATACAGCTTTCCATTTATGGAGGGACCCGACTTAAATAATTTGATTTTTGTCGCATCCAATTTTTTTTTTAATAGATTAACAATGGTCACAATTGAGTTCTAGAAACAGTAAAAAGTAAAAGTTACATTAAAAACTAAGATTTAAAAAACTTTAAGCAATCAAAAAACCAATATGTAAAACAAAAATGTAAGGGTAAAGCCGAGCTCGAACAAAAATCATACGAATGTACAAATGAAGTCTAGACATTTTCCGGGAGCGGCAACCATAAATAATTTCAGCTTGGCTTTTACCTTGCCTCGTATCATTTTGCGTAAGAGTTCTTGTCTCAAGTTTAATTTTTATACATTTGTACACTAGTAGTCCGTAGTAATTAGATACTAACTTGCATAAAACCCCGTTCGTCTGCTGGAAGGCATCCATAGGTATATGCAGGCACGTCAATTCCCAATTTGTCATCGTACACAGCTTCCACTAAGGTAAAGCACATGCCTCCATGCTGGACTATGCAGGTCCCATTTGGTTGGTTGTCAGGACAATGTTCCTCGCAGTAGCATCGTCTCACTGAAACAAAAAATGCTGTTAATTATAGAATTAAAAAAAAAGATCGTCAAAATTAAAACTATCCAGTTTGGGAAAAACGCGTGCCTTAGCGCTGGATCACATTATCCGTTTTGACGGGAGCGGTGAAACCGGACCGGTACCAGCCAGAGGTAAAGATACAAAGGTTTAAATGAAATGAAATAATTTTCTGCGATTTTTCGCAACGAAAAATTAAAGAAATCCTTGTATTTCAACATATTCTTAGTTTGGATACTGTTTTCTTCTTTTATCACTGTTTCACTAAAAGTGCGATTTCCTGTCTATAATACTCCGGCCTTAAGATAAGAATTTTCAAAAGTGTATTCGCAGTAAAATGTAACTAACATTTTCTAACATGTTATACAAGATACGCTCTAGTCAGACGGTCATTTTACACCGACTCGACGTAAGTGAATTACGTATTAGTAAAAAAAAATCAATAAAATACTACATTGACACATTAATGTCTTGAATTAACTGTATTTTTAAATATATTCGAGGAATAGTATTTGAACATGAAATAATGATACTGTCCTATTTCATAAGAATTTTAGACAATTAAACCATAAACTGGAGACTAATTTCTCCGTATATATGCAAATGAGTATTTAATTAAAATAATAGAGATTCTCCTATTTTTTGTATTACATATAAACCCGCTTAAGATGGTTCGGACTGGCGCCAGAATAATATTAAGTAAAATCGAAAAACGTTTCAGCTTTCATTAAGAAGGTATTTACCTGACTAGAAGGTTAACGGCAGCTTTATCACCAAGTCTTAGACTAGCGATCTTCTTTCTAATCATTCTTATAGGATGCTGATATTGCTGATATACTGTTTTCATATATTTTGCCAAATAATAGGTAGGTAAACAAGTTTTAAACATAAGAGCAAGTTTAAAATTCCATTATTTTTTTTGTAATGTAAAAACATATTACAATTAATTAATATAAATTTTAAATGAAACAGTATCTCTTACTACAAATAAAAAATCAATCATGTATTTTAAACACAAATTCTACATTTTGAGTACATCAATTAATCGTATAGTAGGGTAGTTTCTAATAAAGCATACAGAATTTTATTATGATATTTGTAATCGGAGCAAAGGCTTGTTTACGCTACGAGAGCTCGAGATAGGCTGTGAATAATAGATGTAATGTTTTTAGGATGTAGAATAATTCAGGCGACGGTCAGAATTATGTTTCTGCGCATATCAAGGTCAAAGCTCATAAGATTTTGAAACAACTCTAACACAATTTGCGTATGGGCTTAAAATTGAGAAAATAACCGTATAAGCAGACTATTATACACCAGCAGTTGCAAACTTTTCATAAATACCTAATAAAGACAAAAGCAATTGTTTCACATTTCAAGACATTCTACATATAAAGTATATCAATCAATACCTATAGTTTCTTTTTTGTTTATGGCCTTAAAATTATGGACCTTATAATCAGACTTTTTTTATTTTGCTAACTATAATCAGCACTCGTTAATTTTTCATAATTTGGTATCTGCAATGTATCTATCTATAAGAAATATGAATTCATTCGAATCTTGCATTCCAAACAATTTTAGTGTCCTGGTTCTTAACCGGTCATGTTATACAGGGTACCCCAAAAAAAAGTGCCAACATTTTAACCACATATTTAAATAATAATAAAACATTTCTCTAATATTTTTTTTCGAAATCGTACATGTTTGTCCACACTCATTAACTTACATACACTTAACTCATCAACCCATAAACCCTAAATCTGAAAACCCATGGCTTTGTGGTTTATGGCATAACTGTTTAAGGGTATAAGAATTAACGGGTTTAGTGTTTACTATGTAGTTACAATGTCTAGAGAGGATAAGGGTTTAGAATTTATTGGTAAAAATTTTAGCAATAATAATAGCAATAAGTTTTTAAAAAGATTAAGTTTTAAAAAATAAGTTTAATTTGACAATACATTACATAAGACGACGGCTTATTATTATTGTTTTACATGGCCTCCCTAATAAGTAGTTTAAGTATCTGTGTAAAAATGCACTTGATCAAATAAATCAACTTTGTCGTTAATCGGTTTGGAATACAAAAAAGTGTAAAGAAACAAAATATACAGGGTGATATAGGTATATTTTTATGGCATATAATGATCGATGATACCCGCACCTCCTCCGCCACTGGTAATTTTTTGTTTCATACCTACTGTCATACTAAATATGCACACCGAATTTGGTTAAATTATCTCAAGCGGTTTATAAATTAAAAATTAAAAACTGATTTTTTTTTTATTTTTGACACACTGTAGCTGGACAAAAGCTGTCCTAAGAGCCCACATTTATATAACAAAAAAACCCTTATTTTTGGCTACAGAATATGGCCCTGGATTTTTGACCTTTACTAACACATCCTGTATATAATTTGCAGTTAGGCATTTATTTGATGAAGGCTGATTTTAGATTGCACAGAAAAAATATATTCGAGGAGTGTTTTGAAATAGTTAATTATTTTACATAAATAAATACTGATATTTACCTTTTCCGAAGTAATCAATAAACAGTAAATACTTAAAGTGGGAAAATGTTACCAGTACACAAAAAACAATAGGTATGTAAAAATTTGACCTTAACGTTTCTATTTATTTCTTGTTTTGGCTAAAGAAATTAGAACAGTCATGATCGATTACCATAACAATAATAGGAATACATTTCAAGCCAATCAGTTTGGTCAGTAACAGAAGATTTCAACCGAAAGTAACACTATATATTTTTTTGAACCTGCATACTGCGTTATCCAAATCACTTACTGATACTTAGAGATATTATTGCATTTAACTGAGATGTATGAATGCAATCTACAAATTACTGTTGCCAACGGCCAATGCCGCCAGTTTGGTACTTGGCATATGTCAAAAATTTTAATTAGCGATTTTTCGAAGTCATTCGATTAATTTTGTCTATAAACATTTCACAAAATTTACTATTTTTGTTGCAATATTCTACTCATACTACTTTGCAGCCATCATTAGCAGAAGTGACTCAGACCTTTATAGAAAGAATTGATTTTCGGATGCAAGTACTGTGGAGATTTTTGCTCAGTAACGCAAAATCAACAACTTACCACAATTTCAGCCCATTTGACCGAGCCCACATTTTCATAAAGACCGTGCGATGCCCTTTAATTAAAATAATTTTTAACGTCTAACCGCATCGGAACCCTATTTCTTTACATCTTGGTTACCATGAAATTAACATTATATTTTGCTATCATTTGAACCGTGAGGTAAGTATACAAAAAGTCCGGCAATATAATTTCTTCCAGTTATTATTTTAACTTAAAATTGAATTTTTTATTGGTATATAAGATTGCGTGTATAGCCAAAGTGTTTGGACTTGTGGGTCGGACATATGTATTCCCATGTATTTTTCGACGCTGAATCCGATCCCGAGCTCAGAAATGGCCCTCTACGTCTGGAATTGGCCCCAGGGGCCAAAAATGGCCTCTATAGTGCCTGAAAGATGGATTCCGGGATGAGGCGAGGTCGAAGGTGCATTCTAAAGCCAAAGCCGGATTTGTGGTCGAAAAGTTTATGGCCAACTGAAATTCCCGTTTGGGATCGGGAAAATGATCCCTTAGAGGCCGGAAAATCGTGATTCTGACGTCGCAATCGCAACAGTGGTATTTTCATGTACTTTTAAATTCTGGAACTCAGACTGTGCTCGAAACGTTTATGGCCAACTGGAATTCCCCGTTTGGGACCGGGAAAATGACCCCTTAGGGGCCGGAAAATCGTGTTTCGGACGTCGCAATCACAACAGTGATTTAAAAATACCATTGCATATTGCATTAATAGTATATTTTTTCCGCGAAATCCCCACAGTGTGACGTCCGAAACACGATTTTCCGGCACCTAAGGGGTCATTTTCCCGGTCCCAAACGGGATATTCCAGTTGGCCATAAACTTTTCGAGCACAGTCTGAGTTCCAGAATTTAAAAGTACATAAAAATACCACTGCTGCGATTGCGACGCACACTGGGGATTATTGTATGGAGGTGAGGAAAAAAAGTTTTTTTTAAAATATAGTAATTTAATGACTGCTGTAATTTTATTTATATAGTAGAACATAAAATAATTCAGATTAAAAAAAATATATATATTTGGGGGTGAAAAGCAAAGGGGTACAAGTATCAAAACTAAAAAGATTGAGTTATATGCAGGAATCAACATTTAATACCAATATCTATTACTCTATAGGTATGTATTAGAAACCAAAAATATTATGTAGGTATGAAAATGCGTGTCAGGTTGCAGCACCAAGCGCTCTCCACCCTTCCGAATTTACAAACTCGAACGAAGCTAATTCCCTATGTAGCGTTCCGTTATAAATGCCAATAATTAAAAAGGAGCACCTAGGAGCACTTGAAATTGATTTAAAATATAGAAGCTGGTATTAGACAATGTGTAGGTAGTGGTTTCCAACTGTAGGCAAATGTAGCTAAAATTAGAGATCTAAGTGTATGGAGAAATAGGGCTTTTTTATTCTATGTTCATAAAAATATTTTTAAACAGAAAATAAAAGTCTCTGCAGTGTTTATATTTTCAATTTTAGCTTATTGAAATATCCTATTTTAAATAAAAAACAAAAATAAAAACGTCAGCTCAAGCAATAAAATAATATTCGTCTTGAAATTCTTAGGTTAAATTTCAGTCAGTTCAATAAAACAGACAAGTAATGAGTTTGAAACGGTTTAAAAAAAAACTAGTAGTCAGATAAAGTAATTATTTTTTATTTGATTGTGTTATTTCGAAATTTAAAAATACCATTGCATATTGCATTAATAGTATATTGAATATATGACTTTTTTCCGCGAAATCCCCACAGTGTGGCGTCCGAAACACGATTTTCCGGCCCCTAAGGGGTCATTTTCCCGGTCCCAAACGGGGAATTTCAGTTGGCCATAAACTTTTCGACTACAAATCCGGCTTTGG